GGGGTGCCGTGGACATCGCTGGGGCGGGGTCTAAGTGGGGAGGAGCGGGGCGGCAGCAGGGGTGGAGAGGGAGGGAGAGGCGAGTCCCATGTGGAGCCCTGAGTGCCGCGTTGCCCCCGCAGGGGAACACCGTGGAGCTGCCGGAGGAGGAGAACACGCCCGAGAAGAGGGTGGACCGGATCTTTGCCATGATGGACAAGGTAAGGGACTCTGGCCTGGCTTTGCCGCTGACCCCTAGGAGACTGGCTAGTGTCACGGCCACCGACTGGCGGCCACTTCCACGGAATGTGCAGACTTTGCTTTTTGGTACCGGGGATCGAACTTGGGTCTGTGCTCTTGAGGCAGTGGGCAAAACCACTGAGCTAAATCCCAGGCCCTGAATGTGCAGACTTTTAAGTTTCCCCAGCATGTCTTTGGCTTTTATTTATTTACTTGTTTGTTGTCTTTTGAGACAGGGTCTGGCTATGTAGTTCAGGCTGGCCTTCTTGAACTTGGAATGATCCTCCTGCCTCAGCCTCCCTGAGTGCTAGGATTACAGCACTCACCAAGCCTATTTATTTTCTGTTTTTTCTTCCTCTTTCTCCTCCTCCTCCTCTTCCTCTTCTTTTTCTTCCTCCTTCTCCATCTCCTCTTCCATCTCCTCCTCCTCCTCCTCATACTCCTTCCTCCCCTTCTTCCTGTTGTCCTTTTTGGCATTTTGGAGACACCTAGGGACTTCTCAGAATAAAAGCTTTCACTGCATGAGATAAAACCCATAGGATCAAAAGAGAAGCGGCTTCTTTTGGAATGCAGCTGTCAAAGTGTGACCCAGTATTACACAAGCTTCATTATTCACATGTTAAACAATAAAATGTGGCAGCTCGGCCGGACTGTGCCTTGGTGGTGAGTGCTTGGCCAGCAGGTGCAAGGGCCCCCGGCCCTGCAGAAGAAGAAAAAGTGGCGGTGTGCATGCGCGTGTGTGTGACAGCCCCGTCCCCTGGAAGCTGTGCTGTTGGCAGTGGCCATGACGCCAGTCCTGGGTGCTTCAGTAGGAGAATACAAATCTCCGGGACTGAAGGTTCGTGCGCCCAATGGCCGGGCACAGCTGTGGGCCCTGAAAGCCAGAGCCCGAGGCTGGCAATTTCTAAATTAAAAACAGGAGATTTGGAGCCGGCCTCCTGGTGATAATCGGGTTTGTCGACAGATCGCAGAGAAGCAACAGCAGCTTCTCACTGTGGATTGGCTGCTGCTTGCCAAGGCAGTGATGGCTCCGTAAAACCACATCCTCAAGCCCCCCCCGCCAATTTTGGAGGATGGGGCAGATCCTGGAGCCACCTGTGCGGGGCGGGGATCTGACCTCCCAGATCTGTGTCCCCTGGGATGGCTGATGTGCCTTCCCAAGGTGACCTCAGAGAAACACGCAGGCTCTTAGCCCTTGGGACGGACTGCAGCAACGAAAAGCACAGCACCTGGGGCCCCTGGTTTGCCGAGCGCGGAGTCCCCCACCTCCCCACCAGGTCTCCGGTGGCCCGGGGTCTGTGCCGTGGTACCGCGGGCAGCGAGGACCCGTCTTCCTGACCCGACTGCCTGGGGTCCCCACCTCAGCCGCCTCTCTCTGCCCACAGAACGCGGATGGGAAGCTGACGCTGCAGGAGTTCCAGGAAGGCTCCAAGGCGGACCCCTCCATCGTGCAGGCGCTGTCCCTCTATGACGGGCTGGTATAGCCCAGGGCCCACAGCTGGGGTGAGTGGGGCGGCCAAGTGCCTGGCTCTCCGGGGTCACGTGGGGGCGTCCCTCTGCTTCGGCGCTTCGATGCAGCGCTTGCGATCGCCTGCAAATGAGCTTCCTGGCTGAAGGGACCTTGGATTCTGAGTTCTCAGCCAGATGAGGGCCCCAGAGGGCAGGAGCGTCGTCCCATCCCCTGCCCGGGCAGCCGTCAGAAGACCCAGCTCCCGGCTCTCTGCGACCCTGCTGCCCTCCCGGTGAAGATCGCTCCCTTCTTGCCTTCTTATCTTTCTTTCCTCTTCCTGCCACATCCTCAGTAGTGGCCTGGGGCGTTGGATGGGAAGGAAGCCCAAGGGCTCGTCCTGCAGTGAGCGGCTCTGTCTTTCCTGAACGGCTGTGTGCGTTCTGCTGGTGTGGAGCAAAGGGCGGAGTTTCTGGGACGCGGGGTCTGTGCATACTCACCTGTGGGAGATGGCACCGTTTTCCAAGTGCAGAACCATTTTATATTCCCATGAGTCGTGTACAAAGGTCCACTGCCCCATGTCCTTGACAGCATTAGCTATTTTCTCTCTCTCTTGAATTTTAGCTGTGCTGGTGGCTTGTTGTAATCTTACTTTATTTTTTTGGTTTTTTAAATCGGGGTCTTGCTGTATAGTTCACACTGGCCTCGAACTCACTGTGAGCCAGGCTGGCTTTGAACTTGTAGCAATCCTCCTGCCTCAGCCTCCCAAGTGCTGGGATGACAGGCATGTGGCACCACACCTGGCTGTTGCAGTTTTATTTTGCTCGTCTCTGATGTATACCATCACCTTGCTCGTCCTGTGTATATCATCCATATGATCTGTTTTTGTTTTTTTTTTTGAAGCGCTGTGGTCATTGTCTATTGCTGCATACCGCAGTGGCACAGAACAGCAGCTTAGAGACCCCTGAGCCCAGGTCACTCCCGAGGGAGCAGTGGGGCTGTCAGAGTGTGACCAGCCGTTCCACTTTGCCCAGGAGATCTCTGTGTAGCACTGGAGGTCCAGTGTCCCAGGAAACCTTCCATCCCAGGCAGACTAGAAAAATTGCCAGCTGTTGGTCAGGGCTGTGTGGTTTCATCCGGAAGCTGGCAGGGCAGGGGTCTTCTTCTGAGCCCACTCACGTGGCATAGCAGCCGTGGTCCCTCTCCATCTATTCTGTGCAGAGCTCCCTACAGCCTGGCCACTGCCTTGTGATGCGTTTTCCCAGAGAGCCCGAGACGAGAGCCGCAGCCTTTTGTTACTGTTTTGTGTGAGACAAGCTCTCACTCCATAATTCAGGCCGGACTGGAATGCACTATATAGTCCTGGCTGGCTTCAGACTCACAGGAGTCCTCCTGCCTCAGCCTCCTGAGGGCTGGGATTACAGGCGTGTGCCACCCCCCCACCCCGCCGCCTACCTTTGTGGCTTTTAACCAGCGGCTGTGATACATGGTGAACATTCTTTTACATGAGTTGTAGCTCAGTCAAAGCTTC